CGTAAATAAGCATGATCAGTATAGATCAGAAAAGGCTTCGATCCCAGCAGATGAGTTCTGAATCTGACTAGACCATACTTCATTGCAAATAGTTCTTTGTCATGAAATGGATAGTTCTTTTCTACAGCCTTCAGCTGGCGATATTCTAAAGCGATCACACGCTCACGACCTTCATCATCTGTTTGTAACAGAGCACTGCCAATGGCAAAATCCGACGCGTCACAGAAGACGCTAAACGGTCGGTCAGGATCAGGCAAGACAAGGATCGGGGCTATGCAGAAGGCTAGTTTGCTCTTTTTGAAAAGCATTTCGTGTTCGGCATGCCAACACCATTCTACATTCTTTTTAAGGAGATTGAATAATGGCCGAGCCATATCAGCGTAATTCTTGCTGTACTTAAGAAGTAATCGGTAAAACCAAACCACTAACGCAAGTCCTTCTGAGACTGTGAAACAGGCCAGTCGAATATGCTTTGACCTTAGCGGGATCCACTTTGAGGCCTCGCTTCTCAATGAAGCACCCTAAAAGGGAATTTCTTCGGCGCCGAATATACACTTAGATGCATTAGCATATAGCTTATTAGCGCACATGCACTCGAGCACAGCTCGTAAGTGAATAATATGGCTCTCAATATTCGACTGCCCATGTTCAGCACGTGTCATAGAAATACATTTGTGCATAATTTAGATGGGGTCAAAACAATTGCATTACCAAACGGTTAAACGTAGCCGGATCATTCGACAGCTTCTGGAGCATCACCAACCACTCCCAGAGCATACCGCTCGGAGTACTAACCGCAGTGAGCATAATATCGCTAGCTCGCATAAGCAATTGATAATAAACATCGAATAAGTCGAGTGCACTGTACATGGTACAACCGACCATATTGTTCTGAAGAACATCCTTTCTAGGTATTGGCGTCTGTGCAGGTATAGTGGCTGGATTGAGCTTATTGTAAGTATGAACGATACGCAGCTTACCATTGTGTACTTGACACAGAAAGTGGGTGTCGAGTGCGGAGATTTGCTCTGGCTCACCATAGCCTTTGCACGAAAGAACTTGTCAATGAAGTCACACTGTTCTTTGGGCAAAGGCCACTGCCGTATTACGCAGTATTTGATTCCAGGAACCAAGTCAATTTCATGACGTACACCCCTATCAGGAGGGAGAACAGACGGCGGCTCATGGCACACCACGTCCTGATATTCCTTAACTAAATGGTAGTAGGGATCTGAAGGATTCTTCAAGGTAGATGATCCACTACGCGCACTAAGTGCCGCCTTTGTATCTTCAAGGACTGCTTCATCGATAACCGAGGATGAGTTCAACTCGAGGTTAGGTCGAATGGCCACCATATCGGATAAACTTTCAGCCTTCAAGGCTTGATGGAATTCATCCACAGACATTTTGTCTCTCTCTTAGAGATCCTATAATAATGAGAGGGCCTCAAGGTCAACCTCACCATCTATGCCACCTGTCACTTCGTTGACCAGGGTATACAACTGGCCACTGATATCACTACGTGATAAACAGACGACTTGCATCTCGCAGCCGCCATCTGACGACGCTGCCGTCTCATTGACGAGACCGTACCTTTTAAAGTACTTAAGATACCATCATCCCCAAGGTAAATAGATTCCTTGACCTTAACCTGCTCTATACGAGAGCTAATGTCATTACCGACATCCAGTGAGTCGCTATCACAGGTGACATTACTAACAAGGTCTTCGACCTTAGCTTGCCCTATACAAGAGCCTATGTCATTACCGACATCCAGTGTCTCAATATTACTTTGAGTATCACTCAACGGAGTACGTGCCGCTACACTAGGTGTCACTGAGCTCTGCTCGACACGATTATTGTTGACATTGGAGTTTATCAACTCAGACACTCCAATGTCCAGCACACTAACTGACTCAGTTAATGGCTCGCGCCAATAGCACTTTTGTTTCATAGCGAAGGTGTGTTCATGACACTCCAACGATTCGCTAGGAACATTGCACGTGTCGCCTAAGGTTTTGGATCTCCAATCGATCCATGGCCCATGGCGTTCTAGCCAGGCCATACCGAGAATGAGATCATATCTCAAGTCCAAATCTAGGACAAGACAGCGCTGTGGAGTCTAAAAGCTTCACACTTAAGTTCAACAGAACTCTAACAACGGTGACACGTACTCCTGTTGCGAGGCGCACTGTTACAGTATACTTTCACCATCTTGCGCTTCTAGCGTCTCAGCATACAGCTGACTCCCTTCAAGGGAACGACGTCGGACATAATTACCTGACGCCCCTGAGTCAATTAGAATTGAGCATGGTTTCTCAAAACCCTTAACGGTTGCCGACACAACCAACAAGCCTGACTTGTAATCTTGTTCTATGGAAGCATCCACAGAACCACCTGGGGGCTAAGCCCTGTTTACCTCTACCTCCTAGAGGTTCAATAGAGCTTAGTTCTTTCCCAGTAGGGCGCCCCTCGCCTACTGAGAGTTGACTTTTTCCCCTGCCGGGCTCGACTTTTGGCTAGGAGCAGGGTTTCGGCTCTGCCGATTTGAGCGTTGCTTTCGCAACGGACAGCTAGGGCGAAGATGCCTAGTGCTTCCGCACATGTAACATCTACGGATGTTACCTTGCTGCTCAGCAGCTTGAAGCTCAGCTTCTTCAGCATGGCTGAGGTCCATGGGTTTCGTCCTGTTAGAGGCATTTGAATTTTACCATGGCAGACCATAGCGAGCAGATTTAAAATTAAATTTAGCGTTAAACGCTATGCTCACTGCCTCTTCGAACGTTGAAGGCTGGAAACGAAAAACTTCTGTCCTGGCGACCCCAGTACGAAGCCCTCACATATATATATGGTTACTCGGACTTCTTCTGCCAGAGGGTCCTGCTGCCTATCAGCAATGAGAGTTCACAACTCTTGGACATAGTCCGACAATTTTTTCTCACCCTGTCGGGTAGATAAGAAGCGTAAGCGCAGACGATAAGCCTGATTAGGCGGTGCATACACGCAAGTTAATTGATTTTTAAGCATTTCCCATGTGGGAAATGCGGCATTTACAGAGACATCGCTCGTTAGAGCCCACTCTCTAGCTCTTCCACCGAGATTAGAAATGGCCAAGCCAACTCGTTGCTTATCTGACACAAGCATGGCGGCATCCATTACCATTTCAACTTCTCGTACCCAGAAGAGAAGATTTTCTCCCTCCTTCCCTCAAAGTTTTTAACGTTTAAAACGAATGAGTGAGCCTTTGGCTCTACATAGGGCACAGATACCGGTATGTAATGTGTAGGCGCAGCTGACGCTGCCTGGTTATGGACCTGCCCGAGTAGCGTTGCTTCATAGCGCATGAGGCCTCAAGGCGAGCATTAAGGACCTCCGGGCCTTGGGACAAAAGAGCCTCGATTTGTTCGGGCCCAACGAACGCAGATAATTTATCTAGTGAGAGTCGTTGCGCCTCAGTGAGATGATTTTGACTCTCCATCCTCCAAGAGGGTCAGTCTTTGAGACTCAGGTGTAGGATTGACTAAGAGTGCTACCAAGTGTAGCAGAGCTGCACAGCTCTTTAGCCAGATAAGACTTATAGGGTGAGAGCCTCTTCGTTCTATAGAAAGAAATAAATTTACGGCTAAAAGCCACTTAGTTCTAAGTAACTAATTAAACGACTAAGAAGTCACCCTGTTCTAAGGAACTAGTAGAGAGGCTTTTAGTCTGCAAGCAAAAAGCTTAAGAGATCAACGCACCGAGTGCAAGCGTTTAAGCTATGCTTACGGTTCAAGGAAGTAACGCACGAAGTGCACACGAGAACAAGTCTTATAGAGACTTGAGATCTTGAACTCAAAATGAGAATTAACTTTATTCATGCATTAAGATTATATGAATAAATCCTACTCTAAGTACCCTACGCTAAATTAATTACTATTATACAAATTATAGTATGTCATCGTCTATATCTGGTGGATATGGAATCATCCAACCATCAGTGTATGTTGTACTTTGTAGTACTGTATCAATTTTGAACCGATACGGTAGTATAAGGTATAACTGATTCCTTATACTATCACTCAAATATAATACCTCTTTTTTAGGGATCGGTATTGAGAATGCATTATATGCAATATAGAAACTTCAACCGTGATGTACTTTCAGTATAATGTTCCAGCGGCTGTGTAACCCCGTTACACACTCTTACCAGCTTCATACAAGCTGATATTGACCCTCTTAACCATGTCAAGACACAATCTGAGAGCTCTTGCACTTTGAAGGTCGTAACAAATTGTCTGGGGACCAGTTAGGATTAACAGCACCGGTCTCTATGGAGCAATACGAACGTAAAACATGAACCAAGTCAAGTGAAAGACTTGTTTTGTGACGCATATAATGGCTACTTGACACATGCATGTCCATAAGATGACTTGCGACCGCTTAAGTAGTATGAGCTTACAAAGTGTAATATAAGCTGAACGTATACTGCGAAGTATACTTTATATTTATTACATGACTTAAAATTTTGACGAAATTATATGCCGGCTACACATTATTAAAACAAAATATGACAAAATCCTCACCCTATTATTCTAATTGGCTGATACTGTAGCTATATAACGAGCTCCAATTGGTCTACCATCCCATACAGAGCACAAGTGTACTTATGTTTATAATCATATTCATCTCTATCGCCACCAAGTAATATATTTACGTGCTTCATTATCCCCAAAAATCGTTTTACCTACTAAACTCCCAAGACACAATAAATATAATCTTTCTATTTGTAACCCTTCCCACTCTTGCTGTCTTCCACTTATATCCCCAGTAAACTGTCTTTCACTGTACTCTATCAAGTCGCATTTTCTTTACTCCCTCTTCCGACAGCTTTTCCAACCCACGGTCCGTCAAGCCAGCGAGACTCTTTAAAATAATAACACACACACACACACTCCGGTCTTTTCTGGTCTTATTTTGCGAGATCTCGTCATTATCATCGTCGTCACTTTATCACTTGAAAGATGCCCCCAATTGGCAGCAGTTTCCGTAATAAAATGAAACGTGGGAATTCATCGTCTGAATCGTCCTCAATGTCAGAGGAAAATGACATTCAAATGCAAGGCTGGATGCGTAAACAAAAGGAGACATTACGTTCGTGGGCACGTCGATACTTTACACTTAATGGTAAAGTATTAACCTACTATGATAGTGAAGACACAAGTCGTGGGGCACGTGGAGTGCTGGAGTTTGTGGACGTGACAGCACTTACGACTGAAAACAATGGACTGGCACTTCATTTAGTGAGTGGGAAAGAAATTCGGCTTATTGCCGATACTCACGTGGCTTATGCAGCCTGGATGGCGGTACTATCAGCAGCTGTGAAACGACCACGTACTACCAAGAATCGAACGAGTAAAGAAGGATGGGCCCATTGTTTGACAGATGATGATGTCTGGACGCGTTTTTTTGTCGTGATTAAACACGATAGTTTTAGTTGCTATGAATCCGAAGATGATGATGCTGAGCTTGCATTGTCTGGACTGATTCGGGCCGTGAATGAGTGGGACGGCAAACGCTTTGGGATTGTTTGTTTACTTAATCGTGGACGGACGATCAAGCTATGCTTTGATTCCGCGGAAGAGAAGATGTCGTGGTTTTTGACGCTTGAGTTTTCCGTCTCATACGGTGCTGCACGGATGAAGAAGGAAACGTCGGTCAAGAGTACGAGCAGTGAGAACAATCCTGTGGTGCGTGCTGAATCATCCAAATTGGATGTCGGTGCTACGACGACAGAGACGGAAGAAGATGACGGCGTATGGATTTAAGAATCTGTTGACGGTGTTGTACTAGTTGATCGGAAGGATGAAGGAGAAGTGTTGGACGGATGAAGAAGCTATGGAGCTCCGTTGACGCGCTCTGGGCTTTCGAGCATCAAAGACCTACGTTTTTGGAAGATGAGAAAATGATGAGGCCCACGTATCTATCTAGGCACGCAACTCAAGGAGATAATGCGATCAACAGCTGTGACTTTGTCAAGTCGCGCTTGTGGTCATTTCGTTTTTTGGTATTGCTGCTGCGAGAACGCTGTATAAACAAAGAGAAGATGTTCATTTCGATGTAAAGGTCAATAAATGAAAGTATACCAAGCCAATAAAATGTTTGTGTTCATGTGCTGCAAGTGACACAGAACTTTAGTTAGTGTGAGACTCAAATTGCAACATACAGCAGGAAGGATGGATACATTGAGCTGCAATTTCCTCATCAACAAAAAGGGCTGCCACACTCTTCTCTTCGTTCGCTTTTCTTGGTGCTTTTCGTCACTATATCTCTGTAGTCCATTGATGTTGTTTTGCTACTTGTCTTCGTCGTGTCGGGCAAATCTTATTCACAACTTCGCCAAAGCAGCCTCAACGTCGTTGTCGCTGGACACGACGAAACTCTTAGTGTCAGCCTTCTTGAGAAGCGCCTCAAACTTCTCCACATCAGCGTCAGCATCCACCTTCTTCAACAACGCGGCGGCTTCTGCAGATGAGATTGACTTCACGCCCTTGCTAGCTTTGTCCACAAAAATGGCAGCCTTTGGATGCTCCACCAGGTTGTTGCACGGCACATTTACGGACGCACCGTCCTCCACGGCTACCATCTTCTTCTTCGACATCTTAGTGGTGCCGTCGACAATTGCACCACCATATAGTGACGTCACACCATGTAGGTTCCAGATATTCAAATGAGCACTGTAAAGTAGCCCCTTGTTGATAGCCGCCGCACGTCCAGCACCAGTTGTGTTAAACACCAGCGCAGTCTTATTGTCCTTGATCAGAACATCAGCCTGGACCACCAGCGACTCGGACTCGACCATTCCCAGCAGCTTCTTCTTAGCCAGACCTACAGCGTCCTTAACCGTCGACAGGTCAGCTGCTCCAGTAATCACAACCTTAACGAACATCGCACCATCATCGTCATTGTCCACCAGCAGCTGCGCCTGTGGCTCCTTGTCCTTGAACTCACCTGCAGTTGCCACGTACACCACAATGGGACGAGCAGCGTGCGGGTCCTTTATAGGCACACGCACCAGCAACGTCTGTGCAAACAGAGCTACCAATGGCGAGTCCGTAATCACACGAACACGTGTACGGTCGTCCTTGAATGATCCTACGGCGCCGTCCTGTGTGTAGAGATTAGGCTCGGTCGACAGATGCTTCGTTACCGTATCGTATAGTCCCTCAAAGTCATTAAACACGACGTTCACGTCCACCTCTTGAATCTCCACCATTTTACCAGCTATTTGCACAATTGCATGATTATAAGAATATAAATAATATAAAGTTATACAGGATATACAGCAACCAGGTTCATCACTACCTTACCTGGTTTCTCGTGTTTGGCAAGTTGCTCAAGTTTAGACCAGCTGAGATTCCGGAACGCGTCACCATGTGGTGTCACGTCATCTTGTGCTAGTGACCAGTTAAACTCAATATGAAGACCTTCGTGCTCCTCTGGAAGCTCCTACTCTCATCATTAATCATATAAAAAAATATTAAAAATAACAAGGTTTAATAAATTAATATTATATGCTTAATACTTTGTCAGCTACAGAATCTACGCACCACTACAAACTTGTCAGCAGCATGTGAAGCGACACTAAAGTTACGAAGCAACACACGACGGGTTGCAACCGAACGCAACGCTTGGAAACTCTGGCGGATGGCCATCATTGAAAGTACTAAAAAGGTGGTGGGGGCTTGTGGTCGTACGGATACAATTAATCCGAATTGATAGTGTCGTACTTAAGCGAAACATAATGGACCTTTTAGCCAATAAAAAGACGTCATTGCTATTTGATCAATTACAATAGTACGTATCGTATTGATTGTAGCAAGTTGCCCTTCGTGCAGTATGGACGTGCCTCTTGTATCATGTGGTCTTGCGCCGTCAGTTCTGGGTACGACAATGATTAACGCACACGTAGAGGTAGCATAGTATACCTAGTACAACATGCTGTTGATGTAAATATGTGATGTTGCGTGTACGCTGCACTGTTTATATTCGTAGCAGCGCTCTTCCGCGCCGGTTTTCGGTATCAGAAAGACCTGGTGAGCGTCTCAGCGCGTGAATTGGCCAATGGTAGGGCGTCTTGCAATGTCCAAGAGTCTATATCACAGTATCAGAAGATAAGTAAAATGGGTGTTTACTGCGGCAGAGGCACAAATTCGTGTGAAAGATGCCGTGCGAGTGCTGGAGATTGCCCAGGGCGGTGACAATTCAACGACAGTGGGAGAGACAGCACTGGATCTTCTGCAGGTTGGCATGTTGTTTGATTGTCGCAATAAGGGACGTATTGCTATTGGACTTACTACAAACAAATGGAGGTAGGAAGTGACAAAGACGAGACCAATTGCCATGCGACTCTTGGGACTGGACGGACTATTGGGTGGTGGCTTGCAACGTGGTGAAGTGACGGAAATTTGTAAGTTTTGTACTGTCTGTACACTGTATCATGTTGTGTCTATCATGTTGTTGTTTTTTGACAAAAGGTGGTGGTCCTGGAACTGGAAAGACACAACTTGGGTACGTCGTAGACGACATAAAATAGCCATCTATTGGAGCTAATTAGTTGGTTATAATGATCAACAGTATCCACGCTTGCTTGGCTGCGCAGTATTGGACAGAAGGAACGGGAAAAACTGGATCTGCTGTTTTTATTGGTACGTAAATGACCACATTGGGCTGGTTTATTCCTTCTTTCTAATGGTTTTATTCTTAGATAGCGAAGGAAGTTTTATTATTGAACGAGTTGCGTCAATGGCTGAGCATTTTCTAGAAGATTTTTGTCAGCTTGGACTGAAAAAGCTGGTAGATTGATTTCGTCTATTGCTTGAATTGTTTGTCAGTCTTTTTTGTTGATTTGTCAACGATAATTTGGTGTTTTTGTGGTTATGGCTGATGCAGACACGAGACGACTTATTGCGAGGGATTACGTACTACCGTGTGCATGATTACTTGGAACAAATGGAAGTGCTGTATTCTTTACCAGCCTATTTCCGAGTGACGGACGAGGTGGGCTTATGTTATTGTATTATTCATTATGTATCCAGTTTGTTGACATGTAATTGTGTGCGGATCTATTGCAGTGCAAGCTTCTAGTGGTAGATACCGTTGCTTTCCACATTCGCCATGGTTTTGATGACTTTACACAAAGAGCACGAGCATTGGATAATCTTGCTACCCTTTTGCATGAACTAGCAGCTGACTTTGATTTGGCTGTAAGTGCTATTATTGGGTTGATGAATTGTGTCAACTTGTATTCTAAATGGTTTTGTTTTAGGTGGTGTTGATTAATCATGTCACTACCACAGCATCATCGAATGAGAACCTCGGATTACAGCAGCGGCCAGCACTGGGTTAGTAATTTTTGTGACTGAGTCACCAAAATGGATCTGTAATGCTGTTGCTATATATATATGTATAGGCGAAAGCTGGGCACACTCGATACAAAATCGGGTTGTTTTCGAATGGATGGTGCGTGCCTTCCAAGCTGCAATTGATATGTATGTATGGTGATAACTATTTAACTTTGAATGGTAGGGGACTTGCCGCGTAGCTCGCCTGGTGAAGTCAGCTACGCTAGCACATGACTCGGCACCATTTGAAGGTACTGCTGAAATGGTGGATTAGTACCTTACCTAGTTGCAAACCTTATATGACGAAACGTTATGGTTGTTGTTTAGTTTCTGAGCGGGGAGTGCGCGATGTTGCCGACGATGAGTACTGAATCTGGTTTACGCGGATGGTTGCTAGCGACTTTACTACTCGGAAAATTATTTGCAAAAATGAGATCTCAGCTGATCAGATTTCTCCTTTGAGCATTGTAAGTGAATTTTACAATTGCTGCTTCTCACTACACGAGTCCTTCCTCGTAACCTCATGTGGCGCAAAGCACTCCAATTCCAGTGTTGTAACCGCAGGTGCGCGACCAGAACACTCCATCAGCTCGAATGAGGGGCAATAAGCTTGACATCTTTAGCAAATAGACCCCAACTTTCTAGTGGCGTTCCCACCACCACCAGAGACTATTCCTAAATCATGTTGTCACCAGTATCATCGCGGTCCAGTGGTCCCTTCATAGAATCGTGCGTCGTCATCGCAAAGGGTTGTGTCGTACATGCCTCATGAATGGAATTTTGTGACCGGAGCAGTCGTCGTTGATCTAGTTTTTACCTGCACATGCAAACGTCATTAAGACTGGCTGGGTATAGCAGCAGCCAGGGATAATCAAGTTCTTGTTCGTACTAGCCCAGAGAGCTACTACGAACTAGAACTTGATCATTCTTCTCATTGCTGCGATCAGCTATGTGAATTTGAATATGAGCCGACTCGGTTGCAGCGTCCTATTGACAGAAAGATTCGTGCAGGGGAACGCTATCGTTGGGACTGAAAATAGTGCTGCAGACGCCAGCAGGTTGTACAAGTATCGTAAAACTTCACACTTTTGATCCTCCCTATCTTCTTCTCAAGTCATCTCCTTCCTCCTGCCATTCTCGAAACCTACAACATTAATGCCAACCACCCCGCCACCATCGCAACACCTCCAATAGGCTACGCCAAAAAACACCAATCAACTCCTCATGTCTCTACTACTCGTAACCAGCCAGCAAACTCACCGTGATCATGCCGAGCTTCTTCTCCCCCGTAAGCGTCATTGCATAGAGAGATCCCGAAAATAACATCGTGCCCGTTGCAATAAGTCCACCAGCCAGTCCCGGTCGTCGACACATTGGTGTAGCCAACAACACCACCGAGTGGACCAGCTATCAAAGAAAAAAAAGACACCTAAGTGTCTCTATAATGAACACCCAAGTATACAAAATGAGTCACTCAAAACCTGATAATAAGCGGCTGTTTCCCAATTTTTGAGCATTTGTGGATCTTTGATACGGTTTTTGAGTCCATGAGCTCCAAAAGCGCCTGTCACACGTCGCAGATAACGTAATCCATCAGTTGACAAGATGTTTTACTAGCTTCGAGTGTATTGTATAGAGGCTATATAAGTTATATTGACAAACCGAGTAGCACGCCACTGCCACCTGCAATTGCACCGACCTTCCACCAGATTGAAGAAGCAGATGAAATTAATGCAGTCTTCATTTCTGACTAAGAGTTTATGACCGGTATACAGAAAAACTTGCCTAACATGATACTGCCTTCATCGATAGCTCTTCACAGCTGCTAAGAAATTACTACTGTCTTAGTTAGTAACCTGTCTTAACAAATAAATGTATCTCTTATACTTAGCTCAGGCTATACATTAAAAAATAATACCTTATCTTCTTACTAAACCTAATATTCTTGCCATCAAGGCTACTAATCAGATTACACCGGTTATCAATAAAAAAAGGGATATAATGATATTGTATGGGGTCGTCAACCGGAAAGGTATCAATTAAGACAGTATCACTCTTGTTATTCCGCCCTCTTCAACCCCTTAATTATACGTCAACTTATCGAGTACTTGTTTAATTCTTCATTCCGTCCCTCACGTGCCATTTTAAAAGTCGATCCCCACTTCCAAGCATTTCCATGGCTCGTGTCGAGCGATTATCTACTTCTCCAATGGCTATTACACCACCTCTATCCATCTCTTCATCTCCGTCTACATCTTCTGCATCTTTTCCACCTCTTCCGAGCTTTCCACTTGCTGTAGAAGTGGCGTTATCAAGCTCTGAAGATGATCAAGTACCGTCTCCAGGTGGTCCAGACTCTATGGACTATAAGACCGTAACATTTACAGTATCTCCACCTCCTTTAATCCGTCGTGGGTCTCGTGATATCAACTGTACGCTCTTTTCAGAGCGTCAACGCTTTACACCCACTGCAGATAAACTTGTGCTCGTTATGGTGGGACTTCCGGCTCGTGGCAAGTCGTTTATTGCAAAAAAGCTTTGGAAATTCTTTTGCTGGAAAGGTCTCAAGTGTCGTGTATTTAATGTAGGACAATTACGTCGCGCTACAAGTTCAGGAACTAAACAGGATCATTCTTTCTTTGATCCGAGTAATACTCAAGCTCTCGAAGAGAGAGAGAGACTTGCGCTCGAGTCTCTAAAACAGGTACAATCCTGGTTTTTAGGCGATGATGGAGAAAAAGGGGGAGATGTTGCAGTTTTTGATGCGACAAACACGACAAAAACTCGAAGAAAGATGCTGAGAGAGATGTTTCATGCTTTTGCCGAAGAGCATACGACGAGTGTCCATGTGGTTTTTGTGGAAAGCATATGCACTAGTGAAGCAGTGATTAATGCTAATATCAAGCAAAAGGTTGAAAGTAGTCCAGATTATCGCAGCATGCCCGAGGAAGAAGCATTTGCAGATTTGAAACAGAGACTGAAGAATTATGAAGTCGCGTATGAAGCACTGGAAGATGAAGAAAATTGCAGTTATATCAAGTTGTTTGACATGCAGTCTAAAGTGCATGCCAAAGGTATTTACGGACATGTGGCCAAGTCTATTTTGCCTTACATGATGAGTTTTCATATTGAACATCGCCCGATTTGGCTTGTGCGGGCTGGACACTGTACCGAAGTGAGACGAGACTTTCGTGCCATTATAAAAGATCCGTGCGTAGCACCACGGTCTGCGCGTTTGAGTGCACTCGGAGTAGACTTTGCGTACCGTCTCGGCGTGTTTGTGCAGCAGCGGACGGCGGTGTGGATGGAAAATGAAGGGATCACCCCAGAAAATGCCTCGACAGAGTGTCTCGTCATGACATCTACATTGCCACGAGCTGTACAAACTGCAGACTTTCTTTCCAGCGGCAAGCGAAGTACGTGGATATTCTTGTTGATATTTGTGATGGTGTTACGTGATGCTCACTTACTTTGTATATTTGTTTCTCTAGTGCAAATGGCAACTCTGAATCCGCTGGATAAGGGCGAGTGCTATGGAATGACGATGGATCAGATGAAGGAGTTAATGCCGGAAGCATTTGCTGCGTACGAAAAGGATCCGTGGCGTACTCGTTTTCCCGGTGGTGAGTCCTACCAGGACTTGATGCTGCGTCTGGAGCCCCTTCTTATCGACATCGAGCAGCACACAGGGCCAGTGCTCGTGGTTTCCCACATTTCCACATTGCAAGTGCTCTACTCGTACTTTTTAGGTGCGCCCATCGAAAGCTGCCCAGGTTTGGAGATTCCATTCCACTCAGTGCTCGAGCTCGTGCCAAATCAGGACGGCTGGACCAAGACTGTATTTAACATGCGTGCTTAGGGCGTATCACAAGGTAGTAGCGTACGTTTGCTTACGTACTCGTACACGAACAAGCCTTTGCACAAGCCCCAATGAAGAACTCAACACGATATCATTCCACCGATATTTGAATATCTTTATGGATGAGATTTCTTGTGCAGGATCTCAAACCACGTACGCGGACTAACGGTTGTCTTGCCGTGCATGTCAGCATTATTTTCAAGTCAAAAGACCGCGCTCCACCTAGGATTAAATTCTTGTACTTTCACGCGGATGAAACTTACCTTGAAACTACAGAAATGGTGGGTAAGATGATGCATAGAAAAGTGTGTTTCCTTGAACAAGTTTCGCATGAAATTAACCTTCGACAACTATCCTCTTGCAGACTGCCATGAAGAATGGAGTATTCATAAGAGAACTTCTTGCTAACTATACCTCTCCCTACTAACACGCTCCAATACAGTCATTCATTCCCTACAAACGTATCACTTTTATTTCATCATCCCTTACGTTTCTTCGTAAACTGGGACGCGTGTCCCTCCATGACATTCATCCTCTCTCGGGTAGGTGCGAATCGCAGCTCCATAAACTCCTTGGCACTAGCCAGCAATGTTCTCGTCTGCGTCTTCTCCAACGCCTCAAGCGTCTGCACTTGAATGTTACCAAATTGTCTCGTGTGCGTCTTCTTCTCCATCAACTTGGCCAACTTAACTTCGTTCAGCGCACGTCTCTTCTTTGCACGCAATTGAGCCATTGATTCTTCCTTCTCTGCCGCTTCCTCCTCCTCTTTTTTCCTTGCAGCAACAACTGACAAAACTTCATCTGGTAATTCCGGCACTTCTGTCAACTGCTTATTTTTTCTCTTCCTGCTTCAAATACAATACCACCGACAATTTTCCCACCATATTAGACACCTTCTTTATCACACCAAAGCATCTGGATGCAATTGCAATGCCCCCTTCGACCTCAAAAGACCCAAAAGACCCCTACCAATCCCATTAAAACGCACCTTTTCGTTGCCATGGCTTGTGCACGCGCTTCTTTTTCCTGACGACGCTGCGCTTGCACTATCTCTGTGGCAATCTGCTTTGTCATAACTTCAGGTGCCTCCTCGCTATCGCTATCATTGCCATTGAGCCGTACAATAGGTGTCTTGTCCTTCATCCTTATCGTAGCTCCTGGTAAAGGGTCAATGACTTGAAATGGAGTCTCCACTCAGCACTTTTAACCAATCAGTACATGGTATATGACATTTCCACCAATCGAAATGCTGCAAGTCAGATTTATGCTGACCAATGCTGACTACGAAATATGGCTACACTTTGATCACAAACGTCGACAAGTTGTGCTTGAAGCTGCTGAAAACGATCTGTTGGTGGCTCTGGGCTCTCGAGATGGACGCTAGTTGATTGGGGGGAATAGATCGATCTAGTTGCAATGCTTTGGACGTAAAAGTAAATGACAAATAGTAGTAATAACAACGGAACAAGTGCAGACGCAGATATTGCAAGCCCAGATTCAGGTGGACGTCAGGTCGCAGAGATCTCGATTACAAAGCTGGCCATTGTATACGCGTTTGCAGAGTTGTTTGGTTGGCATTGCAGATAAATTGAGAAATTGAGAACGCAGTTGGATAAGGATGCCGAAGTGTTGTCGATCAGGGGGGTAGACAGCATTCGATTTGAGTGTTTGTATTGTGCTGACGAGCTTCTCCCATACGAGTCGACACCCCGATGCCACTTAAGTTACATCGTATTACAGGCTCTTGTGAGCGTCATTTGGAATTCATGTCTTGCTGGTGCTGCCATCTAGATACCCTGTATTTCACAACTTTGTCTTTGATCATAGCCCTAAGCTACGTCGGTGACAGTTCACACGAGCACCCACCATGGAAGCAGATGTAGACATTCGGTGCATTATTGAGCTTGTCGTCTCGCAATAATGTAAAAGCATGCGTCGTCTCGGAGTGGCTCAACAGATCTTAAAGCTTGGTAATTTACAACACATGAGCTACCAAGCTTTAAATGCGACCTTAGTAAAGACTAATGCCATCAAATCGAAACGTACTGTAAGGAGCTGCATCCAACAACACGCCAAGCAGCCTGACTCATCTGCAATTACCATTCACCTAGGTTTGATCATCGCGCGCACTAGTTGCCGTTATATCGTCTTTTGCTGTATCAATATCATTGTTGGATCCGAGCATTGTCATGGAGCTGCAAAGACACTTGCTATCGACGATCCTTCAGCAACTCACCTCGCGACCGACGTTATCCAATCCAACTCGCTGCAACAACAGTTAAATCGACCAGCTGCACAGTTACTTCTTTTATGTAGATTCGCAAAGGCCCTACAATTTACAATTCCGAATCCCATACCAGTTGCCTAGCACAATTCACTTGCATGATTTTCAACTAATTGTAGCGGGAGGAAGATTAATAACCAACAAGGTATTCTAAGGAAGGACTTAGTGTCGAAGCTTCTTTATTTACCCACCATGAGATTAGTTCGCCTCACTTATCGTCTCGTCTTTTGCTTGAGTCTTGCCTTCGGTCTTCGTCTCCACTCTGGTCTCAGTCATTTTAACGGTCTCCTTCACTTCACTGGGCCACGTGTTGTACAGCACGACCATTGCCGACACACAACCGACCGAACCAATCACGCCGTCATGTAGTTTCGTGCCAGTAATTCGCTCCGATAACCTCACTCCTGTCGTGTTGGACGACACAATGAGGTCACACGTCGCCTTGAGCACTGCAAGCAATTGCTTACAGCGGCAACTTCTCAGTGTTTCCAGTTGATGCTGCAGCGTTTCCACGCGCGTAGTGTCCTCCTCCGAGGCCAGAATGTCCCTGACACACTTTTCCTTCTCCACATCGGCATTGAGATTGTCCAAAGCGTTAAAGAAGCCCGCCAAGTTGGCACAGAACCACAGAATGCCTCCACGATACGCCAACTTGTCTGCATCAAAGTAAAGCACCTTAGCTTTGCTTGCAAAAGCCAAATTGTCTGTGATAAAGTAGCCTAACATGCCCAGATTCTGGACAAATTGCAAATACCGTTGTCCCTCCGACAAACTCTTGTTTTTGGACAGTGTCTCCAGCTTTTTATAGTACGTAATACTCTTGCCCAGTCGAAAAGCCTTTCTTGATTGCTGCATGACCTTGTAAAGAGCATACAGTCGTTGTCCCACGTCACTCTTGGGGTTGATCGACAGGATGTAGAAGGCTACTGCTCGACTGCCATATTGCAATATCTAAGTATCATTACGAAACGGTTCATAGCTCATTAGAAAGCAAATTCAATATCGAATTCATATCTATCGACTGTTCACCTTGGAAAGCTTGTCTCGACCTTCTAGACAGAACGCAAGTTTTATAAAGGTATCCAGGGAGAGTGGAGCTTTTACATTCATAATTGTTTTGAAGCGAATACTAAGCGGTGGATGACGGTTGTAGGCTCAATAGATGCACAATTGAATACAAAACAAGATCCAAGTGGTTGCAAGAGGAAGGTGGTGTATATGAAAGAGGGACAGCGGTTTTAGTGAAGACGTCGGTACGCGAATGACCTCAACTTGAACGGGTCTGACGTGAATATTTTGTAGGCTAAGTACGATTCTAGGGTCAGTAGATACCAAAGTGATGGCGACGACGTCGTCGGACTCAGATGCACTGCAGTTGGTATTGTCGAGATCAATCGTTGATGTTTGTGGTAAGTAAAGCTATTTTGTATCTAGAATTGTCTTAATGGATCAGATATGGGGTTATCGCAAGATGTTGTCGACAATACATGTATATGGCTCAAAAATTGCTACGACAAGGTCAACGACACGTTATGAAAACCGAAAGGAGTCGCATTGAAAACACGTTTGTAGGTTTCATCTTCTTGTATATTTGTTAGCTTTGTTGCAGTATTTTCGAAAGAAGTGAGGTACATGTAGCTTTGCAACGCTAGCAATTCTAAATGTAATACATGGAGAGTTCTCCATGCGTATCGTACTCTCTAGTACCACAGTGCCTTGTTCCAGAACAGGCTCTTCGAGTTGGTTAAGTCATCATCACCAATTGTAAACGTGTTGTTGAACACGATGTGTGATCCAACACTCGACTCGTTGTACAGTGGCCAGTACATTTTATCTTCCGCCCACATGGTGTTGGGGTTGCCTGTGAGCACGAAAGAAAGCAGATACTTCTGCATTGTAATTGCAATCGTTGTGTTCACCGATAAGCTATCACCCGCGTCCCCTGCGCTACCAGGGCCTCCAATGGAATTGCTGCCCATCACTTCCGTATCGTCGGCATCACCAACAGAGATCGTCGAGGTACTAGAGGAAGATGAACCGTTGGTGGTGGTCGCGGTCGTGTTATCCATTGAGGTCAACAACTTGTACGTGCTGTACCAGTAGTATTTCTGATCAGTGCCGTGCGTTGCGGTGCCAAGAGCAGCCTCAGCACTCCAGGTCTGATTATTCAAGGCATGTGTCAAAGCCATAACTTTGCTCGTTGAGTCGAACGACTGCTTCATGTCTGAAAAACGAAGACCAGCGCTCTCGTAGTCGCCCTCTGGGTACAATTCCAGCAGCTCCTCGATCACATCGTCCGTGATAGTTGGGAAGAAAATACGCAGGTGAGTCGAAATGTCCTTTTCATTGTCGATGCCGTCGTATGCTAGAGAGTTTGCCTCGTGCTGTTCGTGCGTGATAACGCACGGACCCGAGAAGTTAAATTGTCCCTGGTACAGGCTAGCCTCGTACGTGTCCGGGATAATGGACCCATCCACGTGAGGCTGCATTTCATACGTATACTTTTTGATGACATCGTTCGTTGCATCAGTAAGATTAGCAAAGTCCACCTCACGCATGCAGTCGAGCTGACCGTCGTCGCAGCCAGCCACGGACGACACGTTTTGCCAGAATTGCTCAATGTGGTGATGACCAGCGCTGCCTGGCATGTAGTCGGGAGACATCACAAATGCCTTGTGGAAGAGCTGAGGGGCGTTGCCACCGAAACGAGTCATCTGGAACAGCACCTGCGATCCGCCCGCAGAGAACCCCAAGGCCGTCACGTCGTCCGGGTTGCCGCCGAAGTTGCTAATGTATTTCTGCACCCATTTGAACGCGTGCGTTGAGTCCCATACACACAGGTTGGCTTCGCCACCTTCGTGCTGGTATGTGGGGCCCGAGGCCAGTCCGGTGATACCAAGACGGTAGTTGTACGCGACAAAGATGAAGTCCGTGGACAGGTCAAAAAGACCCTCCGGCGTGTCGTGAAACTTGGAGCCACCCGTGAAGCCGCCACCATGCGTCCAGACAATCACCGACAGGTTGCGTTCGGCGGCGTCGGCAGGAGCCCAGACATCGAGATACAAGCAGTCCTCGTTGGACGAGCAGTCAACATCGGCGTTAGCGAGGTTCGTGCCAGTGTTGGTCTCCGTTTCGACGTCGGGCCATTCTGGTGCAGCAAAACGAAGATCGCCCGTAGGCACCTTGGCGAATCGGATGTTCTGGTACTTGTAGTATCCGACGGTGGTGTTTCCACCGAGGGACTGAACTGTAGTGTAGTTGAGCTCAACAGTGGGAAGCAACGATGACATTGAACCGCTGCCGGTTGTCATGGTCGTCTGATTGCTGGAATTAGCAACCGAAGGGGTCTCCGCCGTGCCAAGAGCGTTGGTGCTGCTGCCGGCAAAAGCAGGAGCCACAATAGCTGTCGAAGCTATCAGAAGAGTGTAGACGTGCATGGTGTACGAGAAGGCGTGGAAGGCGTGGGGTCTTCAAGAAGATGGTTATCAAAGACAGAAAATTGAAAAGTGAGTGTCTGCTTCAACAAGTACCCGGCAGGTCGACTAGACGTTGCAACTTCTCATGCGTGGATCTACTTGGCACTAGCGATACGGCAAACGGTTTCTTGCTATTGAAAAGAATCGTGTGGGGCTGTGCGTAGACATCATCCATTAAGCTAAAGCTCATGCATGTCACGCCTCTGTATTCAAATTTAGAAGAGCTACTGAAAAGGCAGCATGAGCGAGCGTTTTCAGCGTGGGAAGTGTTTTGTTATAAGCTGAGGTAAGTTTCGGGACTGTGGAACGTTTCCAGTGCTAAACTTGTAACGCTGCAAAAGGCAAACTTTGCCTTCCATTGTGAAGCAGGCCCTAGACGTGAATGACAGACTGCAAACACTGTAGTGAATGGTAATAAAATATAGCAAATGTTTGCACCCTAATGCATGCTAGCGGCCGCTAGTGAGACAGGACTTTTCAAATGTTGTGGGTCTCTAAAACTACCTACAACATTCACAGGAGTCCCCGTTTGGATTCTTTGCTGCATCCGATTGTGTGACAGCATCGCAAGTAAGTTACGAAAACAACTTGGCTGATTCGGGAAGGTTGTTAAAATCCGTTTCTGAAGTTGTTGTTTGCTATGCGCGACGGGGACGAATGCTAGCAAAAACTGCTCGTCTAAGCTCCGGCCACCGCGGCTTGGGTCGATCTTGGGCCCGCCTTGGTCTCAGTGCCAACGTGTGTGTCCAATGGCTCACTGAAGTAGGTTTCTGGTAGCTGAAGAGCAATATGCAGAGGCTGAAGCCAATGTGCACGCGAATCTTGGTGAAGGCTAGTAAAAGTTGGAAACAATGATTAGGTAGAGTGAAAGCGGAATCTGTGGAGAATTGGCAGTAGGTCGGAAGGACCAAAGCACAAACAAAATGTAATAAAGTGCCGATCTAACTTGATATACAAGGTCAAGGCATCGCAACAAGCTAAGCAGTCAAGCTCAACTCCTGACAGAGATGTCAGAAGTTTGTCGCCAACGAGATTAACATTGAAACGGGATCGTGGGCTTGCTATTTGCGTTGCAGAAGAGACACCGGAGCAAATACATCCAAGCTTTATAAACGAGTATGTAAGGCTTCCTCTAGCAAGAACAAGAAATACCGTTTGTTTGTGCGTCTACATACAGAAAAATGTCTGCAGGAGCACCGTTACGTAGGACAGCAGGCAAGTTCTAGAGGTGAGTCTTGAGCTCCAAACTTAAGCCAAACCATCTTGCGATTGATTGTTGATCAACAGGTAAGTTAAAACGTTGTTAGGGCGAGAAAATGAACACCAGACTGCAGCAGCAGTCCTTCATCGATGTAGGCTTTGCGACAATGATTGAAGCGACGTGTAGGAACCTACATCGCGCTCGACGTCGTCCATTCAATGCTGTCAATAGAAAAGCAGAAATTCTAAGCAGTCAGACTCTTTTGTTAGAAAGGTGTTATGCAACGCTACAATGTCAACGTGTACGCCTCAAAGCCTTCATCTGCTTCAACTTTAGCTTCAAAGGACCGAGTAGAAACCTTGCTTGCTGAATCTATTTTAATCGCACGGTTGCTCTCCAATGCACTCTGTGCTGTGTGGTTTCTTGAAAGTGTCGCTGGGAGACTGGAGGGTAGTAGTTCTTTCCTGATTCTTCTCCAAATGTGAGAGTCGCAGCAATGGAGTGAGCAGCGCACAGGCCAAGATCATGATACCAGTGTACAGCAGCCCAGAGCTATACTCATCAGTGGTGCGGAAAATGAGGCCGTAGATCACGCCGCCCAGGTTGCCACCAGCACCGACCAAGCCATTGACAGTACCCGTGTGCTGTTCGTTCAAATACGGGACAATGCCATAGGTCGAGCCGCCGGTTGCCTGTGCGGCGATGGCAACGAGAATGTAGAATGTAATACACGCACCAAGCGACTCCAGCTGACCCAACGTGATGACAAACACACCCAGTATGCACATAAGTGTAAACTGTACGCACTGACGGCCTTGCATACCCAATCGGCGACTCACTGCGTCTGAGGCCAAACCACCCAGAGCGCGAGAAAATATGTTCATGAGTCCGAACGACGACGCGACAGTGGCAGCACTGGTCTTTGACAGCAAGTAGCAGAGAGTGCTATTTGTTGGTACGCAACCCTCCTTGGTGAACTGGGTGTAAAAGTAAAGCGCGCCCATGTTATTCAGCTGCAGTTCCGTGCCAAACGCAGCTGCGTATTGAGCAATCATGACTAGGACGTTCGTGTCCGTCAGCACAATTTTAAATGACTGAAGCATGCTCATAGTTTTCGGTTGTTCACTTGCATGATGTTGTGTCATTGGAAGGCTACTAGAGCAATCGCTGATGTTTGTCTGAACAGAAGCAAACTGCTCAGCTTTTCGCTTGGTGTTCATGAGCTCTTGGAAGTCACCTGTAGGACAACTGTCCACTGCGAAACGGATCACAGTACCCATAATAACAACCAGCACGGCAGGCAAAGCAATAGTAATTCGCCAGCCTAGATCCTCCGATACATGACCGCTGGAAGTCATGGCTTCATACACGAAAGGCAGCACGAGGAAGGAAAAGCCAATACCTGAGACACCTAGTCCACCAGTAATTGCATTGGCCGTACCTGCGACATTGCGAGCAAATGTAATGGTCGTCCAGTATTGACTGGATACGAAGACGCAGCCAATGAGTCCAATAAAAAACCGGACAATAACTAAACTCGTTGAGGAGTTCACAAAGGCGGCACAGACAATAGGGATTGCACCAAACCAGAGTACTGCACTCTGTACGGCTTGTGGTCCAAACCGATCAAGTAATGGACCTGCTGCAATACGAGAGAGAATAGTACTAGCCGTACTAGCAATATCCGAATTGTAAACTTGACTGTCCGTAAGTCCTAATTGTGTCTTAATGACCGGCATAAGAGGGGGAATAGCGTACCACCCGAAAAAGCCCATGATACTTGACATCCACGAAAGGTAAAAGATGCGCATATGAGGTCGTAACATACTCATTGACTTGATCTTTGTCGCCCGGTCATATTGTTCATGATCAACTGGTAAGTCATACGTCTTGGTTGTCACGACTTGTGGTTCTTCAATACGACAGTATGCAGTATGTGGGGATTGAGCATGATTTGGTGAATCACAAAGTTCTTGTACTCGTGGTGTCTCAACTTGAAGAGAACTTTGTGATAATCGTCGCAATGATTGCGATCGACAAGCAGCTTGAGGACCCATTTGTATGGAGTGGGGGATAGAAGATTCTACTAGGAGAGTGGGGGGAGGGGGTACTCGAAGGAATTTGACAGAATGAACGAGTCTGAATTTCGTCGAAAAGAGACAGACAAGTGTTTTTTAATTTTTGTTGGGAGAGATTAAACCTTGTATAAACTATAGTAGTAATTCTCAGACCGGACCAGCGACAGCAAGACGAAACGGTGTATGGTTGTTGGCCGCTAACTTTGCCTCGTCACTTGCCGTTTCTTAAGATATTTCTGAACCAATCAACCATTCAGATGGGTAAGGGAGATTCGCCGCATGTTGTATAGTAATTGTGCCATGTGCGGTACAGTATAAACGTGGGACAACGAGTAGATGAGGCCTAACACGTCGCAGATTCTCCCGCACCGAATGTCAGAGCAAATGTATCGACGTGAGCTTCATGTACAGCTGTATATGAAACTGCATTACCAATTGCTTTAGCCGTTCACACTCATGAGATTTCACTAGGAAGTTATGCGGTGAAGTAGTACCACTTGATAGCGACAAGTGACAGACATTATCACTTGATTCAGTTCCTTACCAGTTAAAGTACACATGTCGCTGCCTCGGTCTCAGAGTCGCCAGTGCTGTGGCTGCGTTGGTTTCAAAACATTGGTAGCGACACAAGCAAGACAAACACGTCGAGCCGTCTCGGCTCGCTGTGTCTGATTTTTTTCTCTAATCGTCCTGAACTAACTAATGCGATGAGTATGGGCTTCTTTTGGTTGATAAGCTAACCAGCTTCTCATACCCGTATTCAAGACGATCCTTAATCTTACGGAGGTGCTGGGTTTGCATTTCTGCTTCGTCCCATTGTATCAGATGGTTATGTATTCATAATTGATGTTGACGGTCGTTATGAGGGTCGTAATCCGCGCTGCAGTGGATGTCTGTCCGACTGGTGGTCTTTAGCATTATAGGGACAAGAAAATGTTTGGCAAATAATACACGCAGCAAAGCCTCGATCGCTCTGCTTCATGGGCAATCGCTTGGAACAGAGCTGAAGCACCAAAATTTACTCTACAAGTACAAGGTCGTGCTTTCGAACGCAAACGTTCGGATCATGGTCTAGTTCTTTGGAGCAGAGAAGCCACGAAGCAGAATCTTATCTTCGTTGTTGTCAACGACAAGCGCGACAACGGTAGCATCGCAAATTCGGCCTCATGACGTGCTGTCGGTGTTTTGATACCCGAAAGCTGCGAATCGCTGGGCCATAAGAAGTATCATCTGCTCACGCTTAGTCGTCTTTGCGTCACGCTGTACGTATTTGTGGTGGTTCAACATACGACATCGTGTCGTACTTGAACTAGCACAAGATATACAAAGTTAACGACTTGGTTGGTGCAAGCAGCTATAGAAGATGGATGCTCTCGTCAAGTTATCGTATGCATTGACGGCTCAACACAGAGCTGTTCTTCATGTGAACTACATACACTCTCCTCTTCAGCCGATAGCAACGCAGCAGTTATTATTAGTGAATCCTTCAAAACCACGACCTAAACAATACAGCATCAACGTCATTGTGCCATCGGAGCCAGTCGAGAAACCATGACGTAATACGACAAAGCTTTATTAGCAAGTAGTGGTGACCGCGCTGTACCTGAGTGAGTGAGTAGATCGAAGCACGTAAGGTCCATTTCATAAAAAACTTGACGTTACGGGCCTAGAAAAGAAGATGGTGAATAGCGTGCTCCATTTGCGTGACCATGCTCTGAATTCAGCGGAGTAGAAGTATTCATAAGCAGGAAAGTGCGTCCACGGAGCAAGAGGTCGCGAAAGTTAAACAAGTCCTTCTTTGCCAATTCCGAGCGGTCGCTATCAAGGAATAACGGAGAGATAGGGATGTGAGCACTAGAATCTACCTTCTCCTAGCAACGCAAATGTTCCAAGACACTATCGTCAATCGGTAGCCAGCACTGCATAGTCCTCGTAACCGACGGGAGATATCTCCTGAGGTACTGACATGGCTGAAAAGTTTTCAGAATATCTTGGAAACTATAAACGAAAAAAATCAACAGTCTGTTACGATCACATGTTCAAGGAATCCTCTGCCTGCGACTTTAGAAGCCCCCGCAGGCATATGATGTCGACGAGCAAAGACAAGAACATCGACAACTGAACCTACATACGGTTGCACTTGGAGCTATCAGAAGAACTGTATTTAGTTTTGCTAGAAGTGTTGGGAATGAATGACAAGAATGTAGAAAACTAGGTCAGAAACGTACGTAACGATGATGGCGACTATGGTAAAGATGAGGGTGAGGACGCAACAGATATGTCGCTCCAATGGTAATGCATCAAATTTGGCGTAAAGTCCAGTCACTGACTAATTAACGTAAAGCTTGTCGGTCTTACCATCTTTGCCTTAGTCCTGCATCAATACGTAAACTGCCAACATCTTCCTGATGGATACAGATCTTCCTTCGTCTAGCTTGCAATCAGACTAGCAAGCACTGCCTGCTCTTTGCGTGAAACTCGCACGAGAAACACATCAATGTGCTTCCGAAGTGTTTAAGGACCTCATACTGGTGAGAGATGAGCGGCTTTTGCCAAGACGCATTCTAGCATTGCAGCCTCTTGACGTCACTGCTCATCGATAGCTGCACCCAATTGGTCTTTATCTCCCCCAGCCGACTAATAAACATGTATGGCTGCTCGTCTTAGCTTTGTAGATGAAGAAGTTGTTGACGGGGTCTTCTGGCTGTTGTTTAGGTCATCACGAAATAACGGTGACCGAGTAGCGCACTAAGCTCAACCAAGAACAAAAAGTAGGCTGCCTCTGACTATCATTACGTAGCTCCGCGCCGAGAGACCAACAACGGCATAGATGAGATATCCTGAACTAGGTGCGTGCTGCAAACCTACAAGCAACAGTATGAGATACACATAACAGCAACAACGTGAAGCACTTGCACAACAAGGGGGAACAAGACGCCAGGGTTCATGCTCTCAACAACTCGGTGTATCACATTTTATTCCAGGCAATCAAGCAGAATAAAAGAAAGTCAGTTCCTTCATCGGTTCGCCGTTTTCTCATCGTCGAAGGCGGCAAAGCTGAAAGAATTCTCGAGACAAACATCCAACCAGCTTCAAACCAGTACGCACAGGCAGCCAAAACGATCAAAAAGCGCATCGACAGCATATCACTGTCTCCTGTCACCCCCTGTTCTCTCCAGTCACTGTACACGTGCAATCCATAGCTAATTGTCCATCTCTCCTCTGCTATGCTAAAGGCACAAGACCTCCAGCATCCCTCGCCCAATGTCCACGCACGCACCACTTATCTGTTGGCCTTAGCCACACGTTCAATCTCGTCTTTCTTCTTAATAGCGTAACTGTTGGACGAACCCTTGGACGCGTTGATAAGCTCATCAGCCAGGCATTCCGCAATGGTCTTAACGTTGCGAAACGACGCCTCACGGGCACCCGTGGCGATGAGGTACAGCGCCTGGTTGACACGACGGAAGGGCGACACATCCACACCTTGACGACGTACGACACCGGCTGAACCGACGCGAGTAGAGTCCTCACGTGGGCCTGACTTGATGACGGCTTCCACCACCACCTGCAACGGATTCTTGTCCGTCAGCAAGTGGATAATCTCGAGCGTGTGCTTGACAATACGCGTAGCCTTGAGCTTTTTGCCAGAGTTACGACCCTTGCGCATCAAGGCATTCACCAGACGCTCCGTAATGGGGCATTGTGCCTTACGAAAGCGCTTCTTCTGATAACGCTGAGCCGTGTGGGGCAGGAACGTAGCGGCTTTACCCTTCACAGCAATGTAGTCCTCAAGGGAGATGTCTGCTGCGATGCTGATGTCATCGTACGACCTGTTACAAAGTATTGTATTAGCTATTGGACGTGGTACAGGACGATCTACCGGTTCTATCACTGTGTTGGATTCGTTTAGACGAGGCTACAATGCTTGACAAGTGATGAAACCTACACCCGTCGATGCACCGTTGTCTTGCGAATACGATACGCCTGTATATGTTGTGTTATACTAACGACTACGGTACTTACCACTTGTTAAAGAGCTTTACTTCAGTTGCAACTTCCGCCATGTTGAGAGAGTTTCCGAGGATGAATTTGAGCAAAAAGTGTGGGAGACAGGAGCTTAAATGAATGGGTAGGAAGCTCTAGCAATACAATAATCAAGTCAAGTTTACGAAGCACAAGTGAAAAGACCCCCTATCCTCGATACAGTCTACGGTTCAAAGGACCGGTTAAACAAGGATCGATTTGGTACCGTCGAAAATGGGTCAGTTTTTCGATTGAGTAAAGTAGCATGATGGCAATTCGTTTCAGCTGGTTTTAGAAATGGGACGCTCAGTTAAAAAATTTAATTTGTTTTACCATAAAACCTATTTCTGGGTTTGTATTCCCTCGCAAAACCATTATACAAGTCGCAGCCCGTACCCACAGGATCTCTCACTCCATAAACCTGTATTAATCAATCTCTGTGACACGCGCATTATCTCGTCACTGGTACACTGTACTCTTCGTTTTCTAATAATAAGTCGGAAGAAGCCATTTGTTAATAGTCAGTCATATACAAACTCGATGGGGGGCGGTCCAGCCAGTGCCGATGTCGTGCGTTCGTCCTGTTTCGTGACGTTTCCAGAGCAAGCACACGCTGAACCAGTGCCTGTAGATGCTTGGTATCTATTTGCAGCTGGATTGACGTTCCTACGTCGCTTGTCACGTGATCGCGTAGGTGATAACATGCACATTGCACTATTGCTACAAGTTCCAGACGAAGAACGACGTTATGTGTCTGTGAGCTCCAATACAGTACTACAAGAGGCATTACAAGAGACTTTTGAGTGTCCGGAGAAGGCACTGGTGTTGCATGTGATTGATGTGGGAAGAGTACGAGGTCAGAAACGAATTCACGTCCGACCAGCGGTGAATCCGAATGTTTCTCCAGAGCCAGTGGAAGCTTTGGAATTGGTGTTTCCTATACTATCAATTGATAGAGTGGAAGCACCGACTGCTGTGGAACTTCCAGCAGCTCAAGTGACGAGGGAGAGTTTGTACGAACAAATGAGTCGATCAATGTTTAACTATCGGAAAGATGATAGTATTCAATGGAATGGAGCGAGATCTATGAAGAAAGAGGAACAGAGTTTGAGTCACAGCGCGTTCTTTGTGGAAGAGAGGGACTATACAAGAAGAGAAACGAGAGAAGAGAAAAAGAAGCAGAAGAAGGAAAAGGAGGAGAGAAGACAGCAAGCAGGTGTGTCTGTGGCAATTGAAGCTGTTGGTAACTTGTTGCCACCAGCTAAGCAGATGGAGAGTAGTCTTGTTGAACAAGGAGATGAGAGGGATATTCCTATGGCAACACTTGTAGAGACTGACGCAGCACATATTCCGTGTGACTACGTGATGCTGGAACTGCAGACGGGTGCAGGACTACCGGAATTTTCAGCTACTACCAGATCAACATACTTTATCTCCTCTCGATGGGCAGAGCAGGCTGATGAAATGAGTGCGTCTATAAGTCTGGAACGTCCGTCAATGTCAAGTGCTACTTCTATCCATGCAGCATCCAGCGTTGGCAACAATATTGACAGTCATGTGAATATCGAAGACTCGTTCGTGCTCCTTGAACGTCAAGAGCTCTAAGGAACGTGAGAAGGAATGCTACATGTTGCAAGTTGCAGAATGAATGCAGCAGCAAGAAGAAAAAGAGTCGAGTGATGATAGACAGGCATTAGGTTGTTACTTTTTGTAGACGAAAACTAAGAATAAAGGTATTTATACACCGCAACACTGCATCGGTTAAATCAAAAAAACGTTTAAATCATTTTATTAGCGCTCGAAACCATTTCATTAACCGTTTTTACCCATTCAACAAGAATGGCAGCAGTGACTGGTAGCGTCGTGAACGTGCAAAATGTGACCCAATTTGACCAAGTGACTGCCCGGGATTCGACTTTTGCCGTGATTTTTTTCTGGGCGGAGTTTCATGAAGCTTGTCGTCCTAATGGACAATTGGATATCGTCGTACGACAGCTGGCAATGCTTCATCCACGGATTCGATTTCTTAAAGTTGCAGCCGAAGAATTGGCGGAACTTTCAGAACGGTTTCAAATTGTTGTTGTTCCTACGTTTATCATTGCACAAGGTCGTACGATGGTGGATAAATTAGAAGGGGCTAATGTCGCTGAATTGGCGAAACGGGTGGATATACTGAGCAAGAAAGTTGCAACGAATACGGTCACTAATGTAAATGTTACGACGAACAAGACACCCAAATCGTTGGACGAGGGACTTGAAGATCGTCTTAAGAAATTGATGAATGCTTCCTTTGTGATGCTCTTTATGAAGGGCACTCCAATGGAACCAAAATGTGGCTTTAGTCGACAGATTGTCACGTTATTGAACGATGAAAAGATTCAATTTGGAGCTTTTGATATTCTCAAGGACAATGACGTGCGTCAAGGGTTGAAACAATTGGTTGACTGGCCAACGTTTCCGCAACTTTATGTAAATGGTGAACTCATTGGTGGGCTGGATATTGTCAAGGAGATGAAGTCGGAAGGATCAATTGTCGAGCAATTAGGACTGACGAAGAAGAGGGAAGAAGTAGAAGCGACATTCCAAGAAAGTCTTTGTGCATTGATAAAGTCAGCACCTGTGCTGCTTTTTATGAAGGGCACACCATCGGATCCAAAGTGCGGGTTCAGCAAGAAGACGGTCAAGTTATTGCATGACCATCAGATCGCCTTCAGCTCGTTTGATATTTTGAGTGATGAGCAGGTTCGTCAGGGTCTTAAAAAGCTCTCGAACTGGCCCACGTACCCGCAGTTGTATGTCAAGGGCAAACTTGTTGGCGGTTTAGACATTTTGAATGAGATGGCAGAAGACGGTGATCTGAGTGAGCAGCTCGGCGTGGAGAAAAAAGCCAAGAAGGAGAACAAGTACGAGCAACTGATCAATCGGGCGCGCGTGATGATCTTCATCAAAGGAACGCCCAAACAGCCCCAGTGTGGATTTAGCCGCAAGCTCGTGGATATTTTGGACAGCGAAGGCTTCAAGTACGACTACTTTGACATCCTCACGGACGACAGTGTGCGTCAAGGACTTAAAAAGCACTCGAACTGGCCGACGTTCCCGCAGCTTTACGTGAAAGGTGAACTGATTGGTGGGCTGGACATCATTCAGCAGCTGCAGGAGGACGGTGAACTCACGGAGTTGAAGGAGTAGATGAACACAGGCGCTGGCTGCATGTAAAGCCTACTTCATCGGAACAAATGAAAACTGCTTGATGCTTTCAATTCCTTATCGATTAATCTGTAGCGGTGTACGAATAGTTTTAGAACTACGTGATAATCTGTGTGATGATACCAGCAGCAAGCGTCTTCCCACGATCGCGCAGCGTGAAGCGCCCGAGCTGACGGTAGTTTGCAAACTCCTCGAGGCAGATCTTGCGATGGCACGTTATTTGCACCACAGCCGAGCGCTCACGGGTGATGCAACGCGGCTTCTTCCTCTCGACCTCGCCGGTCTTGCTCAAGATGCTAATCAACCGTGTGATGTTTACAGGCTCGTCCACGTTGTGCATGTGGATAGTCACGCATGTTCCCTTTACTAGTGGAACCTCTACCGACGGCATGGTCATAATCTTGGCCTCAAATTTCTTGGCAAGCCGCACCGGTGACGCAATAGAACAGAGGATGCTGCCAGTACTGTAAGCATGCATGTACACATACACGCAAGGCAGGCCAGTTAGAAGTGCGCATAGAGAGATTATCAAAGAACGACAAACCTATATCATACGTTAATGCCGACGGATCGATTCCAGCGACTCCCATCTCGATTGTGTCGCCGGCGCGAGCAAGGGAACAGGTCTCGCCATCTTGTTCCATCCCTTGTTTTGTTCAAAGTGAGAGTTATACAATGACCACGAAGGTTTACCAAAGTACGCTGAAAGTACTCACCTTTTACCGTCACAGGAAGTCCAATTGGCATCAAGAAGAACTGCGGCAAGTGTAAATATCTCGTTACAGAAGGCTCTACAGGTTATGATCGCATAAGCAAAAAGCTTTACCGTGTCGCCCACTGCGGCAGCACCAGCGTAAATGCGACCAGTGATAGTTTGTCCCAGGCTCATTGACTTGGACACATCTGAGACCGTCATCCGGAACGGCTTGGAGATCTGGCGTTGAGGGGGAGTAAAGGCATCTACATGGCAAAACAAGTTACGCGATGATGACAATATTTTAGCTTCAAACATGCACCAGCACTTACCGATCGCCTCGACTAGCGAATGGCCCGAGTACCATGAGCATTCCTCGACTCCGCCAGTTTTCTCCAAGTTGGCGCCTGTGATGCCACTGAGAGGAATGAAATGCAGGTTTTTCGGGCGAAATCCTGCGCCCGTGAGGAATGCAGACAATGACTTCACGATATTGTCAAAGCGCTCCTTATCCCAGTTGATCTGTGAGACATGACACAACGTGACTGTAAGCCAAGCGAACACCTTCAATCACTATTTGACCACATGTAATTCACCATATCCATCTTGTTGACTGCCACGACCATTTGCGAAACACCAAGACTTCGTACAAGCATCGTGTGCTCCTTGGTTTGTCCGGAATTCTCAAATGCTGCTTCAAATTCACCAATCACTGCTGGAACGACCAGCACAGCAACGTCTGCCTGTGCCGCTCCCGCAATCATTTTTGGAATGAAGTCGCGGTGTCCTGGCGCGTCGAGTAAGGTGAGGTGCTTGGTTGCCGTTTCAAAGTAGCTCGTACCCACGTCCATGGTGACACCACGAGAACGCTCTTCGTCGTCAGCATCCATGACCCAGGCATATGCAAAGGATGACTTGCCAGCCTCACGCGACTCTTTCTCGTACTTGTGCATCAGTTTTTTGCTCACGTAGCCCAACTTGTACAGCAGATGGCCAGTAATGGTACTTTTGCCGGCATCAACGTGTCCAATCACTACCATACTAATCTTGGTTTTGCCTCCATTCCGCGCCTTTTCCTCCAACGCTATCGCTTTTTCCTGCGTCTTCAACTCGGCACGTTCAAAAGCTTTTTTCTCTGCTGGTGTAAACTGAGTCTGTGTCCGTGAGATCGTGGGTGCAGCACTGACCGCATCTGCCGTCGACAAACACGGAGGCTTCTTCACATCTCCCACCTCCTTAGAAACTGGTGACGGCATTACAACTCCTCCAATAGCCATAGCTTTGCCTTTGGTCAGCGCAGGCATGATAATCTCCTTCTTGAATTGAGTCTCCTCATTGTCAACGGCTAGCGCCACCGCTTCAAGTCTGGGAATCTGGATCTCCAATGGCAATACACCACCCATTGCAACCGGAGTCGCTTCACCTTTTTCCAGCAAAGCCACCACGGTTTTATCCAGATCGTAATTGGCACGACGAAGTTCCGGAATCATCTCGTTGCATGAAAATCTATTGCCAATAACTTGTTGTACTTGAGGTATCATGGCGTCCAAAATCTCAGCATCTCTAGGGTCTTCAATAAAATGATTGATATTGTTCAGATTTTGCTCCACTAAAGTCGGATCTTGTTGCACGAAGGAAAAGACGGATCGCTGACGACTGGGAGAATCTCGACGATACATGAATTCGTCTACATAAATAAGAGAAAAATGGTGTTTTTATTAGTAGAATGTAGTACTTTAACGATAATGTTAATTAGTAAAGAGGTGGTAATTTATGGTATTTTATTTATTTTACTTACTGGAATTGGGTGAATTGGGCTCGCAGTCGTCGTAGTGTTCGTCATAATCTGAGCAGCGTGTACGAGAAAGAACAGTACAATAAGATGGTTAAGGATAAATGAATATAAATACGTCAATCGATCGTACCTTCATCCTCATATGAGTACGCGCGGTTGCGTACGTTACGGTGGCGGGACATGAGCTTGTTATTTTACCACTTGAAGAGATACCGGTTTTATATATTCTTGATCGGTATATCGGAGGATCTTTTTGGTTCAAAGAGATAATTATTTCAATGTAAAAAAGTATCTACTAACGTCAAAAAAAAGTTGTATAAGCTACTTGGATGCCCAATGAATTTCATACATCTGGAGGTCGTAGAATGGGACCTCTATTCACCTAAATCGCTTGATAACAATAGGAAAACATCGTAATTAGCTAAGGTTAAAATATGCACTATAGAAATCATTGCTGACGTAGATAATGGAAAAATACCGACATCCGGTACGCTAATGAAATCACCATTACCAACGTACCGAGGAATTCCCTCAAATTCTGTCGTAGATGAGAGTTTTGGGCTTGTGTAAGAACCGACTCGATTGGCACTACGACCACGTCGGGCGCCCTTACGCCACTCAAAGCGTTGGCGAGGGCAAGTGTCGTGGTCAGATGATGTGCGTTCCTGACACGCCTTGAATGCCCTAGAGCCAACCTTCCCTGTACAGGGTAAGACTGATCAACTCGCCCTTGTGCTTTCGCTTGGCACCACTTGAGCGACGACCGAGACAGTGGTGACTTGACTTATATAGCTTGAAAGTCTCGGGACCATATCGATATCGAGGTCGTGCAAGCTAAAGTATCGACACTCAATTATTGGGGTCTATAATTCGAGCAGTGATGGCTAACAAAAAATGAATGTGAAAGCGTGCACAGCGCGCTGCCCATTGCTATGTGAGATTGTAGGACGATGACGATCTGTATGTCAATGTGACGAGGCAAGCCTGGTCATGTGTACTTGTCACAATAGTCAGACGTCATGTATCACGCGTTATTTTTTATTGCTTACGGCTCGATTATATGCAAAAGCTCCATAGTATCTAGGACCACTACATTGCAAGAAATAAGTTCGTCACCATGTACATAACATGACCGAATCGTTCGTTTCAATACTACGATACTTGACACGATTGTCAGCTCATCCTGATCATTTTTGTTCCAATGTCTCACGTTTGAGTCTCAAGCGGGTGGTGGTGCTCTATCATTCCAACGTATATACCGCCGCCAATCGCGCCACCTAGAATGGGGCCTACAATCGGTACCCAAAAGTAGTAGTCCCGAAGAGTGAAGACGCGTGAGCCCCAGCCAGCACATAACGAGAAGAGTCGCGGGCCAAAGTCGCGTGCCGGATTGATGGCATAACCCGAGTTCATGCCGAACGCCATACCGATTGCCACCACTAACATGGCCACAGCTACAGGCTGGACGTATGGACTGGCAGGCTTGTTCATCTCGTCACCCAGAGCGAAGATACCTCCCACTAGCAAAGCCGTACCGACCATTTCCGTCAGGAAGCACGTACTAACCGGAACGTCGCTGCTGTACGGGTACGTGGCAAAGATGCCTCCAGTCGATTGCTTGCTCGGATCAATTTTATGAATCATGGGGCTGTAGACGGCCCACAAAATAAAGGCAGCTACGAAAGCTCCCAACACCTGCGCGGTGATATATGGAATCACTTTGCGCCACTCGAAACGACCGAAGAGGGCGAGGGTTGTCGTCACTGCAGGATTCAGGTGGGCGCCCGAGATGCCTCCTGTTAAGTGGATGCCAAAGAGCACGCCAAGTCCCCAGCCGAGGTTGATATTGAAGTAACCACCCTTGCTGCCCTCGCTAAGTACAACCTGAGCCACGCTTCCGTCACCGAACATGATGAGCACCATGGTGCCGAGAAACTCGGCCATGCACTCGCGTAGCAGCGGTGACTTAATTTGGTACGGCTTTTGTGGTGGCGTCGGTGTCTTGGCCACGTCAGCATCTTGAATGCCGGAATAATAGCAGCCACTAGCAGACAAATGAGCCATGACAAGAGAGAGAGAGAGAGAGAGAGAGAGGAACTTCTTAGAGTTGGGGATAATTGAAAAGTGACATCCAAAGAAGGATGTAGGACTGGTCAAGCTGTAAATTATCCGTGCTTGGTAGCTAAATGTACTATATTGAAGCGTATGATGCTAGCTATCTCTTGTAGTTGTTACCATTAAACTACTCCCTAATGGGTCTCCAAGAGTCGCACTGCCTTCTTCCACATTCGCTTCGCCTTATCTGAGGATCGCTAACTGGACTGCGAATCGCTAATTTGATTGCCGATTTGCGGATCGGGAATCATTTAGAATCGCGGATCGCGAATCATCCAGGGGTGGCAGGCATAGGTCAAAGCAGGTTTCGAATAAAACCTAAGTTTTGACCGGTGCCAAAGAAAGAATCTTAAGTCATCGGATCTGACCAAAGCATTCTCACAAGATTCTAAAATCAATTCCTAGTGCTACCTAACGCCATTTTTTGAGAGACTACTACCAGATGTGACCAATCGCGAAAAAAACAACTCAATTGTTACCGTCCTAAAGGAGCTTTCCACCCCGAAGGAAACAGTATCACTAGTAGATCTAAGAGAAGTCGTGCATTTCTAGTCGGTCTTTATGAATGTTGTAGAATTCGTCAACCACAAGTATGTTTGTTACCTGCAAGCACTGTAAGACAATTGTTTTGATTCACAACAAGTCGACAGAATCTCATTAGTATACGTCTTGTTCTCACTATGCACCTTTGCAAAGGCCAACTGTTTCTACAGAGTCGAAATGCGTCAGAGGGAACCCTTCTATGCACTTACGAGGTCAGCAATGATAAGCTTATGAATCTCACGATCTTCCGTCATCGTTGTTTGATCGATGGAAGAGCCAACCCTTTTGTCTTGCCTGTCATCATTATTGTGAAAAACAAAGAATAAATCAACTAATTAGATTTAATTCAGATTTCATTTAGGTTTTATTCATGCCTGAATAAACCTAAATTATTTCTAAATTGCGGAATATAAAACCTATTTCAGCTTGCAGAAATTTCTAGGTTTTTGCCACCCCTGGAATCATCTCTATCGGACCGTGAATTGCGTGGTATGGTGTGGTACACACACGCCGGATGGCGGATGGCGGATCGTGGATCGTGGTCTACCGGAGTGCGGTCTACTGGATCACGGCTTACTCAATTACGGTTTACCTGATCGTGGTGAACGGTCCACCTACCGATTTGTCCACCTCATTTAAGCCATCCAGAATGATTGTTTCACATTTATATATTCCCCATACTCAAACGATCGCGTCTGGTCGGTCTCCTGCACGGATCGCATAGCTGCAGCTTTTCTTGCAATTCCAAATACCTTCTTCTCACCTTCCAGCATGTCCTCCATGTTTGATCATGAATTACGCAATCACCAAATGTCTATCCATTTTTACATATCCTCCATTCTCGCGATCGCGGTGATCGCAATTAATAGGCCTATTATCGTAGTAATTGGGCAGCGAACTGCGATCTTCTCGGCGTAGCAGTAGGTGTCCATATCGCTAACGGCCAGTCGTATTCACCAACTCACAAACCTGTAATTGCCAGTGTGTTCTTCCAAATCCTCTCCTGACGGGCCAGCACCTGGCCGTTGGTCTGCCCCTTCGCTCTCTGGACCCGACCCTGACTTGATTGTTCCGACCTTGGACCTCGTCGGGGACCCTCCTGATTATGCGAGTGTCGCCCAAGCATGGAGAGTTATCCAACTGGCGATGGAACGGACCCAAGTCATGAAGGCTCTCGCTGAAGATCATAGAATCCTTCAGTAGGACAATCAGGCTAAGCATCGCCGGGCCCAAGAAATGCAGTGCCGCGTAGATGAAGTTGTTCGATTCGAGGAAGTGAATGAAGTTGTTCGATTCGAGGAAGTCGATCTTCATCAGATTAAGGATAGGATCAAAAATTTCGTATCTCGGTATGGTCGTATCCAGTATGAATACCTGGTACAATGGAGGATACTCCGATCCGTCATGGGTAGACGAGGTGGACATCAACTGTGGAGAACTGCTTGAAGAATATGAACGCAGTCAAGTCACTCATAATCGCTTTGAGGTAATGCAGAGCCATGAGGAGTAGAGGGAGAGTTCATTCTGGAAAGGTCGAGATGATGAAAGAAGGAGGTGGTATTTGTTGCATACATATAAATCGGTCAAGCTATATATTCGAGAGATCAGCGGAACAAGAAGAGTAAAGAATTGTAAGCCTGAAGAGTACCCGGGCCCATCTAAGACATGGGTTGAAAGAAAACGATTTGGAGTTTACTATGCGCCGGGCTATAACGACGACGAGAGGCACGCGACTGGGCCATCGCGGCTATCAGAGACTCAACGCTACTACTAGACTCGTTTTTAGTGGAACTATAAACACGGGTAGTCTGGCGCTTATTAGATGTGAAAGGGGCTGGGGCCTTGACAGCGGGCGACCGCGACCTCTTAGCACTCAAGGGTACCGGGGCCTTGGCCATAGGCGTAGCAGGTTTAGATTTAGCGCTCCGGGCCACTGCCAGCTGCTTCTGGTGCCAATCCCGTTGGAGAATGACTTATTTTGCGAGATCCTTTGAGCGAGCATATTCATCCTGGTGTTGCGACACTTAAGATACCTTGGCCCGAAAGTCGGCCGCGACAATGTCCAACTGAACCTCCCGTTCCTCGACTTTGACCGTTAAGTTCGTCACAGCAGCTTCATACTGGCCCCTCCAGTATCTTTTGGTGAACCGAGACGCCACGACTTCAAGACTGTAGTATTTCTGGTTGGCGAGTGCATCTCGGCTCTCCACGATAGTCAGCTGATCAGTTTGGTGATCGCATTCCTTCCCATACGCCTTACAAGAATTTTCTCTACTTCATACTCGTTCTCCTCTGATTCTGCAACTAATTGTCCTCTGGCAACAGGGCTTCGTCAAAATCCACCCGATCCGTCTCGTCCACCACCAGCACCGTATTCGGTCTGTCGGGGTGTTGATGGACTAACTTCAACTTCGAAATGTGTACCAACAAGTATATACAATGATCTGTTCCACTGATTTCCAGTCGAGCTGCATGGTCACCCACCAATTCCCGTACTCTGAATGGTCCATGCCAAAGGTAACTC